AATCATCTGTGAAACTTCATTCAAAACAAATCCCTTGCCAAACTATTTCTTGCTTTTCATTTGGACAGTTATCCTTCTGATAATTTATATGGCAAAAGTTCTTTCGTTGTCTAGTTCAACCTTGTAAAGAGGACAGTATCAGTCTGACAGCAGCGTAAACAAAGAGATTCGCAGTCTTAGCAGTGCTAGAATATATTGGGCAGTTTTTCATTGCATATGGAGGAAAAACAGCAATACTGCAGTAGTTCAGTGGAAAAACGCCTCAAGCTAGTTATGGTTCATTCTGATTATAAACAATTTCCATATATAAAGACGACTTTTTCAGACGCAGCTGCAGTATTTTAAGCCCCCTTTCCCTGCCACTATTAATAAACTGCACCCTAATGTATTGCATCTACTGGCATTAGTCATGACTACACCTACTGTCTGTAATGGGATGCCATTCATCAGCTTGGTAAGCTCAAAATTAAGTGATTTTTCTGGAAACTGTTTCTCAGCAGCATCATTTGATCCGCTGTAGTTAAAAAGCCATGTCATTGGTTGCATTATAAATTCCATTTTGCAGTCATCTTTTTTTTTTTTTTTTATATAAATTAATTGTAGCTTTCCTCTAGGCTTAATGCTGGTATAAAAGGTTTTGGCTGATGAGCAAATCTTTTCCAAAGACAAGAATTTTCAATTCTATCACTTTTAAATAACAGTGGCATAAAAAAACTCATGGGAACAAACTTGTTTAAGTCAGCCACACAAATGAAAGTTGACAAGTGATTAGCTCCTGGGAATGAATTGTTTTCTACGTTTTAGGGGAAAAAATATCATCAGTGACTTTTGGAAGTGGCCTGAAGCATGGGCTTTGGAAGTCTAATACTACAAATACCAGTTTAAACAATTACATATTTAAGCAAATGTTGTAACATGGAGTTGGCATGACAAAGAGCAAACTTCAAAAAAACATCTCTTGTAAACTGCAAGCAGTATGCACGCTTGTAAAAACTCAGCACTGTACCAGTAATTGTATTAGTCATCCTGAAGGACCTGCAACAGTGAATTCATTAGCTCCTACCTTTCACAGACTCATAGAATCATTTAGGTTGGAAAAGACCTTTAAGATCATCAAGTCCAACTGCTAACTGAACACTGCCAAGTCCACCACTAAACCATGCCCACATGTGTTTTAAATACCTACAAGGATGGTGACTCAACCACTTCCCTGGGCAGCCTGTTCCAGTGCCTGATAACCTTTTCAGTGAACAAATTTTTCCTAATATCTAATCTAAACCTCCCCTGGCACAACTTGAGGCCATTTCTTCTCATCCTGTTGCTTGTTATTTGGCAGAAGAGGCCAACACCCACCTCACTACACCCTCTTTTCAGGCAGTTGTAGAGGGTGATAAGGTCTCCCCTCAGCCTCCTCTTCTCCAGGCCAAACAACCCCAGTTCCCTCAGCCACTCCTCACAGGACTTGTGCTCCAGACTTCTCACCAGCTTTGTTACCCTTCTCTGGACACGCTCCAGCACCTCAGTGTCTTTCTTGTAGTGAGGAGCCCAAACCTGAACACAGTAGTCAAGGTGCAGCCTCATCAGTACCAAGTACAGGGGAAGGCTGACTTCCTTGGTCCTGCTGGCCACACTATTCCTGATATAAGCCAGGATGCCGTTGGCCTTCTTGGCCACCTGGGCATACTGCTGGCTCATATTCAGCCGGCTGTCAACCAGCAGCCCCAGGTCCTTTTCTTCCAAGGAGCTTTCCAGCCACTCCTCCCCAAGCCTGTAGCGTTGCGTGGGGTTGTTGTGACCCAAGTGCAGGACCCAGCACTTGGCCTTGTTGAACCTTATACAATTGGCCTTGGCCCATTGATCCAGCCTGTAGAGCCTTCTTACCCTCAAGCAGATCCAACACTCCCACCCAATTTGGTGCCATCTGAAAACTTAGTGAGTGCACTCGGTCCCCTCATCCAGATCACTGATAAAGATATTAAACAGAACTGGACCCAACACTGAGCCCTGGGTAACACCACTTGTGACTGGCCACCAACTGGATTTAACTCCATTCACCACAACTCTCTGGGCCCAACCATGCAGCCAGTTTTTTTACCCAGCAAAGAGTATGGCTGTCCAAGCCATCAGTGGCCAGTTTCTCAAGCAGAATGCTGAGGGAAATGGTGTTAAAAGCTTTACTAAAGTCCAGGTAGACAACATCCACAGCCTTTCCTTCATCTACTCAGTGAGTCACCTTGTCATAGAAGGAGATCAGTTTAGTCAAGCAGGACCTGCCTTTCATAAACCCATGCTGACTGGGTCTGATGACCTGGTTCTCCTGTACATGCCTCATGATGGCACTCAAGATGACCTGCCCCATAACATTCCTGGGCACGGAGGTCAGTCTTACAGGTCTGTAGTTCCCCAGTTCCAGATCCCTGGATCCTCCTTCTGCCCTGATGGGCATCAGACTGGCTAACCTCCAGTCAGCTGGGACCTCCCCAGTCAGGCAGGACTGCTGATAAAGGATTGAAAGTGGCTTGGTAACCACTTCCACCACCTCCCCTCAGTACCCTTGGGCGTATCCCATCCGGCTCCATAGACTTAGACTTCTGTGTGCCTAAAACAGGCAAGGTATATTGAGCCTCTAGGGCAGTGCACACTAGTGCATGCCTAAAAGAGAAATTGTTGCTTGCCCTGCAGGGTGGAAGTAATTTAAATTACTTTTCCTGGTTGTCCTGCTCCCTTCTCTTTCTGTCAGATGAAAGAATGAGAAGGGATTTTTTTTTTTTTTTTGCTGGCTTCTACTTTGAGAAGACAGAGTTAAAATTGAATCTGTATCATTCTGCTTCTCACTGGCTATGCCAGAGTCACATCACAGTAATACTCATTTACACCTGTTCCTCTGACTTGTCACATTCTAGTTTCCAAGGAAAGGAAATTTAGGATTGTGTACTGGGTTGGAGACGCACTGCAATTTGGACAAGTTCCTCAACTGGACTGATCAGGTTCCTCAACTGGACACAGGGACACTACCACATATGGAGGCAGATGTAGGCTCTGTCAGGTCTAGCCTGCTCCTGGAAATGGAGGGAGGGGGAGGAAAGGGCTGTGTGCTGGTGATCATTATTTGCTTCCTACACCAAACATCAGGGAACATTTTTTTTTTTTTAAATCTAACCACATCATCTTGGATCATAGACCATATAATGTACTAAAAGTTAACAGCGTATTTCAGAGGTGACAGCTTCAAGTATGCCTACAGATCAGACCCCACAAGTTCTTACAGAGTGCATCTTCCTACCTGATCAATCAAAATCATCTCACAAATTCTCATACACTCCTATAACAATTTTGACAATTTATAGTCCAACCCTGCAGATCAACCTTCTATATTTTTCCTCTGTGAAGTAATATATTTATACTACTTTTTTTTTTTTGTGTTCAAATCCAGTAAATTGTAACGTTGTGGGGAACTACTTGCTGTAGACATCTTATCAACCCATATTCAAGTGTTCCTGTACGTGAGAATCATTCACAAGAATAAACTTGTTAAAATCTGAGCTAAAAGGCAGAAAAAAGTGGACAAAGGACATTAATTTTTAGACCCTAACAATTAAAATATTGGACCTAAGAACATTTTAGTGAGTCTCAAATTCTCCCTCACATTAGACAAGGAACGCAGGTTGATAAGTCTCTGTTCATTCAAATATATGACTTGGATGAGGAGTGGTGCATTCTTGAGACTCTTCAGCAAAATGAAGCTTTTGAAGTCAGGCATAATACGACCCTTAATTTTGGGCGTGAGAGCAAGTTCTGCTTGTTTTTCACTTTTTTCACTTTGCAAACTGACTCATCTCACAAGGAAGACATGATCTGCAGTGCAATGTGCTGTGTTCCTATACTATTTGCCAGGATGTAGTGGTCATGACATTTAAAACTAAGATGATAACAGGGAGGAACAGGTCACTCCAGCATGAAATAGAGAAACAGAAGTTGAATCCAAAAAAAAAGCAAAAAAGAGAGACTATATATGAGGATTAGAGATAGCCTCCAGCTAGTGGGAAATGGTTCAGGCACCACAGAATAAATTTTATAGCCCTACGGGCCTCTGAAGATTTGCGCACTTCCTCTCCACGATGAGTGCTATTATTCCAAGAAATATTGCTTGTAGAACTTGATTTCTAAGCTAATACCGTGTTACGGGGTAACTGTGATTAGACAACCTGTGATGTAGAACTTTGGAAAAAAGCTGTATTATTCAATACTAAAAGAAAAATATGGCAAGTTCTGAGAGAACACCAGTGGACCTGTTTTTTTGAATATACAGCTTTATGCAATTAGAATTAGGCAGAGATTTCCAAGAAAGGTTTTTATATCTCACTCCTCATCCTGGCTGGTTACAATCAGAAAATTTGTTCACTGTAGAGATGATCCTTTCCATTCAATGTCCTCCCTCACACAGCAGCTGGCTTACTTAGCAGAGTAATTATTTTTCCCACTCTGTGGTACAGGTAGCAGACAGATAAAGCCAACAGTGCAGAAGACATAATAATCAGATCATTAGGCCTGACACTTACTTCATATTCCTCTTTGAATCCATAGCCTTCTGCACACTTCATTTGGGTGATGTGCTGTAGCAAGTCAGCTACACGGATGGCTGGATGAAGCTGTCCTGTCTGGTAGGGCACATCCACTGGATCTCGCTTCTTGTAGGTATGGGATTGGACCAGGCTGCTTGTGTCACTGACCATCGTATGGGTTTCATCTAGAAAAGAGTATCTCATAATGTACTGGCTCATTTTCACTTAAGAGAAACATAAACTACACAGATTTCTAGAGGAATGGCAGAAATCTGACACCATCAGTATTGCTTCTGTCTGTGAAGGCTACACCAGAAGAACAGTAAATCCATGGAGCAATTTACACAGGGAAATTGCAAGACTGATTGGAATGAGGCAAAGTCCATGGTTCTACAATGGAAGCATTGCAGAGCAGTCCGAACTCTAATATTATTTTAAATATCACTAGCTGATTACAAACAGGTTTTAAATTAGGCATTTGGTTCTAAACTGCACAGAAGTTTCATTCTGAAACTTCAACAAGTCCCACAGAATGAAATTGGACTTGTATTCTTCTTAGATTACTGAAGTGCTATATTTTACACTGCAAATTTAGAGCAAATGTTTGGAGTGAGCAAAATAAAAAGATGCACAAAATGGCTTATGGTTTCATCAAGCTTGGACTGCAATGGAAATGTAGATCTGATACAACATTTGGAGACAAACTACGAGAGGACAAATGCAAAGGATCATCTGATCAGGAAAAATGTCTTGACTGGCTGCTGAACATGCTTTAGGACCATGGTGTATCATGAGCCATCACATTAGGCATGGAATGTTATATGTCAACTGACATGCAAGCCAACAAACAGGAGAACCCGGTGGGCTGGTTAAAAGTTTTATGAGACACATACTCTCCCAACCCTCCACATCTCTTCCATGGGGCGAATGGGCAACTTACCATTGATTGGCACTTTTAAGAAGATACATATCAGGAGAAAAAAAGAGGAGGAGAAAAAGGAAACAGGGCATAAGCAACAGTACTACATGAATAATTACAGGTAATCTTATGTTTGTAATTTAGGCTTTACAGAGTGACTTCCTAAATGAGTCAGATTCTGATCTCAGTTTCACAGTGTAAATTAAATGGACTGAAACCAAGGTATCTTCATACAATTCACACAGATGCAACTGAGATCAAAACTTATACTTAGCAGTAAATAGACAGATGTGAAAGTGCACTCTACCTAAGGAAGCGATATGACTTTCTTCCTGTTTAGATGGAATTTTAAAAATTGGTTTAGACTAGACAAGAGAAAAAAACAACCCAAATTCTAAGGTCGAAGTATCTTCATAAATATTTTAACTGTTTACCCAAATAATAATTTTACTTATCTCAAAGAGTTTTTGATTTTTAACTGAAATTGTAAATGTGGTGCTTTGACTTATTCAAACTACTCCTCACTGGCTGCACACTGAACATAGCAAGGGTACTATATTTATTAAAAATTATTACTTTGTAAAATATGTTGTATGAAAGGGAAGCATTAAAATAATATTTCCACATTCATAAGTTAGATGTACTATAGCTGAAAGTTCCACAAATACTCTGGATGAAAAGGTCCCAGATTCTCATGTACACATGAGAATACTACTACACCTCATTAAAGGTGAGATTCTGGTCTTAGTTATACTTCTGAAAATTGATGTTAAAGTCACAAAGCTCAACAAATCATATTTCAAGGATGATTTTAGGTTCTCTGAGTTCACACTGATACTAAGACAATGGAACCCGGTCCTCAGTAAGCATACAGTCAATATGAACTGTGCATTTAAACCTAAACCAAAAACAGAGAAAAATTTATGGGTATGAGTATGGGCATTTCACTACTTTTCCTGTCAGTTTGCTAACCTGACCTAATGCAGAGGAAAGGGATTAATCTTTTAGTCATAAAATTGGACAACTTTTGTCTAATGTGTGATAAAATTGTACTGCAAAGCACCTTGGGATGCATGGCATGAAGCGTGGTATACAAGTGTAGGTACAGTATGTTGCTGTTGAAATGGCACCTGAAAACTACAAGGTGGCTAAGACACAAAAGACAAAAAAAGGGTAGGAACTTGATCATGATTTTTTGGGTGGCTTATTTCAGTTTTAGAAACAGGTTAGAAAACTTGGGTTTTTTTTGCAAACTACAGAATTCCTTATAACGCAGACTGTTAGTAACTAAGATGAAGGCAAAGTTATCAGATAGCAGGGTCTTGTGCTATCAAAGCAGCAGTTTAATCCTTATGAATTTCTTTCCTGAGAGCTCCTTTGTTTTAGAATAATTTTCCTCTCTCCATTTCTTTATCTCTTATAGCTGCATTTATACTATTTTTCTCTCTTTGGGAGTGATTTTTTTAAAATTGTTTTAAATAAAGTACTTTCAATCCTTGGTTTATGTGGTACATTAGGAGCTACATGTATTATATTTTTTTTGCTGTGTCTTTGAGCACTGTAGCTTGAGCACTTCAGGCATAACAGTCCACTATATTTCAAAGGGTGAGCTCCTCCAGATGCAGTGTTCATATAT